AGTAACTATAAATTTAATATAATATAGTTACTTTAATATAGTAAGTATATTATATTAATATTTAATATAATAGGTTGCTATAATAATTGTATTTAATAATTTTATAATATAATTATTTGCAATATAATATAGATACTTAAAATAACTATAATTATGATATAATATAGTTACTTTAATATAGTAAGTATATTATATTAATATAATTATTAATAAAATAATAATATATTATGTTAATATTTAATATAATAGGTTGCTTTAATAATTGTATTTAATAATTTTATAATATAATTATTTGTAATATAATATAGATACTTTAAAGTAACTATAATTATAATTTAATATGGTTACTTTAAGCAATTGTAATTATAATATAATATAGTTACTTTAATATAATAAGTTATTTTAATAATTGTATTTAATAATTTTATGATATAGTTCTTTATAATATAACATAGTTACTTTAATGTAGCTATAATTATAATTTAATATGGTTACTTTAAGCAATTGTAATTATAATATAATATAGTTACTTTAATATAATAAGTATATTATATTATTATAATTATTAAAAAAAATATTAATATTTAATATAATAAGTTATTTTAATAATTGTATTTAATAATTTTATGATATAGTTATATTTGCAATATAACATAGTTACTTTAAAGTAACTATATATATATTACTTTAGTAATCTAGTTAAAATATATTATATATATATATATATATATATATATATTTATATAACTATATAAAAAGAATATTAGAAAAGATGTCAACTGTATAAGAAAAAGAAGAAAAGAAAATGCACATATGTTCATGCATCTTTATCAATAATTTATTCTATGATCAACAAATTCGAAAATCTCAAATGATTATTATTTGAATATTCCTTTGAAAGATATCAAGGTCTTCCCATGACGCAACTGTGTACAGTTGCGAAGGTTTCTGTATAAAGTAAACGACAAATTGCTGCATTATTGTCAAATGACATTTCGCCGACCTTAAACTCCGGGTTTACGGCGACCTGAAAATTAAAAAAGAAACAAAAAAAAAAAGAACAAGGGAAAATGATCAACGAAAATATCAAGGATTGAAGGAAGACAATGAAAGAAAAAAATTTAAAAAAAAAAAGCATCAATGGAGGACGTTTAAACGATAAATGGTAAAAGCTTTTTACTGATTGTTGATCGTAGATGAATGAAAACGAATTCATGTTTCATTTTTAATAAGAACGTAAGACTCAATTTTCTAGGGATATTACCAAATATGATTGAAAGAAAACAGAAGGAAGAAGAGAAATTAATGAGATATTTCTATAATAATCAAAATGAAGTCTTGAAATGAATTATAATTATAATAATTATAAAATATATTATTGCATACCTTAAATGTATATTGTCCTGGTTCTAATTCAGAAATGTCCACCCATTGACAATCAATATTATGTTTGTATATGTCGCTACAATTAACGGAGATTCCTTGATCACCGTAATTAGCACATTTGTATCTGTAAAACGGGCGTAATTGTATAATTATTAAATTATATATATAATTAAATTTATAATGTTATATATAAAATATAGTATTATTATATTATAAATAGAATAAAATTAAATAATATATAATATTATATATAATTAAATTTATAATGTTATATACAAAATATAGTATTATTATATTATAATATTATAATATAATAATAATATAATAATAATACTATTATTATATTATAAATGTAAATATAATATAATTAAATAATATATAATATTATATATAATTAAATTTATAATGTTATATACAAAATATAGTATTATTATATTATAAATATAAATATAATATAATTATAATATATATATTATATACTCTTTATTATTATATATAATATATAATTATAATATTACATATATAATAATAGATCGCGCTCAGGGACGGGAACAATGGCGGGCTTTGGTATTTGCCGTAATGAACTTCCGAGTTCCTAATGCCAATTAATAATAATAATAATAATAATTATACATATATAATAATAATTTTTCTAAAAGAAAAATAAAATTAGTTTAAATCTTTTCATTTTACCTTGGTTCTACACCTGGAATACACTGATTATCTTCCAAACAAAAAGATGCTTTATGACCCTCAGCTACTTTGTTGCCACTCGAATCAATTATGTCAAACGTTGCAAATACTTCCATAGAATGATAATGCCTAAATAAAATAATAAACAGTTAACGTTTTAATGGATTACTTATATTCTAAACATATTTTCTTGATCATAGATCATACTTTTCAAATGATCTATTATATCCATGTCTTTTTACTCATAACCAATTCAATCTTTTCTACTGGTATATTACACACTAATGTAACAACAGGAAAGTCACACCATTCTCTCACAACTATATTATATATATATATATATATATATATATATATATATAATATAGTTGTGAGAGAATGGTGTGACTTTCCTGTTGTTACATTAGTGTGTAATATACCA